GTAATTTATATTGCACAATTATGCAAATTGGGTACATAAACAAAATTATCCTTTCAGTTTTGGCTTTGCTACATGAGTAATGCAAAGAGAGTAAAAGATAAAGAAAACCATACATTTGTTTTAATGTAATGCACCGGTTCTTACTTTATCCATTCTTTTGTTTTACTCTTTCACCTTGCATTTGAGATTTTTACAGATTTTCCTTTCTCCTATTTTATTTTTTCTTCTTTTTATGCTGTTTTTCCTTCCTTTATCTGTGTTTGACTCTTTTCCTTGAAAAATTTTCCATCTCATTAATTCTGCTGTAGTGATTCATAACTCTTCAGGCCATTTCTTTGTTTTCTGATATGACTACTATTCTCAATTGTCTCAAGTTTCCCTTTTTCTCTTGTTCCCAGATTCTCTTCTTTCTCCTGGTATCCTTTTCCATTTTACTCCATTTTCCTGTTAGGTTTGACTTGCTTTTATAACTGTGTGATGCCACATGCTTAGGATCCAATCACATTTACTAAGAAAACTGAAAATAAGCATGACAAATAACAGAGCTTGGAAGATAGGAATTTTAAGATACAAAGCCCAGTGAGATGGAACTGGAAGCCAATGCCTAACAGCAATAGACAGCATTCAAGTTGATATTAACCACCTGGTAATCTATCAACAAAACAGCATAACAAAATACTTTTCCAACACTGAATGATATCCCAATTGAGCTAGTCCCTTTAAAAAGGCTTAACATTGTACAGAAGATAAGAAAACCTAAAATATTTAAAACTAGTGGAAAATATAACCTTCTGGTTAAAGCTGGCTGTGCAATAACAGGGACTACTGGTGCTTGACAATACATGGAGACTAACTGTTAAGGGGATTTATAATAGAGGGGCTGGAACAGATTTGTGTAGAGAACAGAGTTGTTCATTGCTTTATCTGCCCAGAACCTCAGCTCCCATGGGGAAATATGCCTCCTCCTGTTACAGCCCTCTGGCTGTAGCAAAAGCAGCCAAATTAAAATATAACCCAAGGGATACCCGACCCAACTTGGGCAAATCAGAGCACCCTCCCTCCGGCTATAACCTTTTTCCACTTTGAATAACAATCAAATGCTTCCCTTCCAGACCAGATTTTATGTCCCTGTCTCCCTCTCTGACTTCCACTTCATCGCCTACATTTCTCCCATTTACTTACTAAGTTCTAGTTGCCCTGGAAAACTAATATTCTCAGGTCATTGCTTTTGTATCTTTCATCCTCTTCTCCTGGAATGAGCTCACTTGATTTTTCAGTGGATGGTTTCTTCTTGTCATTTGAGTCTCTACTTAAATGTCATCTCAGAGAAATATGCTCTTATATATCTACCTAATGTTGACATACATTTATATAAATATATAACTTTGCTTTAATTTAGCATCATTGAAAATTAGCTTATATATTTATTTTGTACATGTATTTACCTCTCAGATATTTGATCTTATTTGTTGCCTGTCTTTTCCCACTAAAATGTAAGATCTTGTCTATCTGATTCACTTCTCTATTCCTAGTACTCAGGACAGTGTGAGACACATAGGGCATTCCAAATTAATTTTGATTTAAGTGAATGAACTCATATGTTACACAATGGGAAATGGCCTAAGCCTGGCCAAAGGTTTCCATCCCCATGATTTGGGGGCTTTGTGATCAAATGTGAGTCAAGTTCATGTTTGGAGCATTGAGTGCTAGAACTAGGAGATACAAAGCTCACAGAAACAGGTTTCTACCATGTGAACCAAAGTGAGTACGCCAGTAGCTGGGAGGGTGTGGGTGGTAGCGGAAGGAAGAAATAAGGGGTAGTAAGAAGGGGTGAGGCATACAGCGAATGAAAACCAAGAGTTTGGACAGTGTTTATTGCATGGTTTCTGAGGTTCCTGAGGCCCAGCTACACCCCTGTCTGGTTTCTATGAAGCCCCTCAGGGTCCTTTCCATGATTTGTGCTTTTCCTTTAACTGTAAACTGGATTTCAATTCTTTGCAATCAATAAAAGTAACATATAATAATGTTATACCATTGGGCTTAAGAATTTAAATTTGGGTGCAAAATCAGGGTTTGAATCATGATTCTGATATTTGTCTGTATCACAGAGGACCAATTTCTTAATCTCTCCAAATTTTAGTTCCCTTATCTAAAAATGAAGGGCAATCATAGAACCTATCTGAAGTGGGCATTGGAATGATTAGATGTGATTATACATATAAATGTCTTCGGCAAAGTGCCTGATATATTAGTATGTCCCTAATTAGGGAAGGAACTACAGCCTGGCTCCAGGGTGAAAGGTGGCTTTGAAATGGCATTTCAAACCTTCCCTCATTGATGTGTCTAACTTCCTGCAGTACATCCTGCATTTTAGTTTTTTTAGAATATTTTCTAAATTCTTTTTCTGATTAGATATCTTTAGAATTGGACTTCTTTATTTTCCTCTATGAACAATTATGCTCATGTCATCTTTGGCAATTCAGTTTCTGCTAGATGTCCGATGGGGCATTTGTGAATTACCAAAATAGTTGGTGCTAAGAAATTGGAAAATTGATGATCTAGATTGGTCCTCTTCAGGTATCCAGTCTATGAAGAGAAAAGTAAGTTCACAGGATGAGGTCCTGGAAGATAAACAACAGGAGCTTGCCCCTCCTAACACTCTTGGTTATTGCCTATTATAGGATGTGGGTTGTTACAGTTAAGAATGAAACTGTAAATGAGCATGAAAGCTGGAGAGGGGTTTGAATGGGATCAACCTTTTTGAATGAGGCTTGAGATGCCCATAGTATATGGGCATCCCATATGCAGCTCCCATAGTATAGTCCTGTATAGTCCTGTATCCTAGTGTGCAGTCTACAAAGATCCTGTAAGTCAGTTCCACCCTCACCACATCAATAAACTGGATGAGCCACAACTGGGAGTGGGGTGGGCGATGGTGTGTGTGGGGAAAGGGCTGTTCCAAGACCAGTAATACTAACATCCAAGGAGTGATGACAAAGGTAAGCAAGTGTAGCAGACCGTGTGACGCAGGTCTCTAGTAAGTTAACATGTATTTCTTAAAAATGTATCATATCAAAATATATCATATACATTTCTTTAAAAGGCATCATTAAAATAAATGAAAATAAAAGGTATTTTTCAAAATGTTATAGCATGAAATTAAAAGTATAGAAGTGAAAAGTTTCAAGAATCTATACAAAATTTAATGATATTGATAAAAAATGTTCACATTTTTTAATATGTTCCCTTTCCTGAGTGAAAACTGGAATCCAGATTCTATTGGGTTGTTGAAGTCATGACAACCCATATGTTTTTCGTTGCAAAAATGTGTCATGACTTTTCCGACAACCCAATAGTAAGTGGCAGGACTGGATCTCTAAAGGGCTTGCAATTCCCAGGTAACAGTTAGGGAGAGATTACAATGGGGTGGGATTTATGACTAAAAAACTGAGTATTGTTTAACATAGTAGGTTAGAGTAGATTTAAAGAGATTGAACACTTTGTTTTTCTGATAAATTTTGGGTAAGGGTTTGAGAGGAAAACTAGATTATAGGTACTATATATCTTCTGTTTACTTTCAAATTATAGAACGTACGAAATTTTGTGACTCTTCTAATCCAGGAAAAACCAAGTAAAACTGTAAGTAAAAAATCTGACTCAAATTTGCACAGAAACATAAAATTATGAGAAATATATTTAAAAAACATGTATGGGCCCTGCAAGAAAGCTTGAATACCTGGAGAGACATAGTGTTGTGATAAGATCAAATATTGTAAATTGGTCATTGAAATCATTTCCATATGGCTGAGATAAATGAAAGTATTGACAGATTGGATATTATTTTAATACACTATACAAATTATATTTGCTAGTATTTCATCAAGAAAATTTCAATTGCCTTCTTAAGCAATATTGCCCTCTATATATTTTTTCATTTCCTATTTGTTGTATTTTTTTCTCATTTGTGTTTTTTGTTTGTTTGTTTTTTTGCTTTTTACTATTTGCAGAAAATTGGAGATTTTTCCTTTAAAAATTAAGTTCTGTGATTCATTTATTGATTTCACATTTCTGCAATTCAATAAAATGTGTATTGTTTTAATCTCTAAGTTTTGCCTCTTTGATTTGTACTGTACTTAAGTTCTTGAGATAAAGACTTGATTCATCTATATGTATACATATATATATATTTAAATATAATAAATACTAAGCCTATGAATTTGTCTCTAAGTGAGCATTGATAATATAGCTGTGCTGAATGTGGTGCTGTAATATTAGTAGATTTCTAAATAGTCTACAATTACAGTTTTATTTTCTGTTTTATCCCAATGGTTATTTAGGCAACTAATTTGCTTATCTAATGTTGATTTTGTTTTATTGTTTTTAATATTCTGTGGGGTATTTTAATAAAAAATTTATTTTTAGTACAATTAAATTATAACCACATATGATTTCTGCAACTTCTGTTATTTATCATTTATTTGTTCTTGCCTAATAATGATCTATTTTGGTAAATAAACCATAGATGCTTGAAAAAAATGTGTAGCTTTTGTTTATAGGGTACAAAACATCATAGACATCAATTATTAACTTTTCCTTCTATTTTCTTGATTTTAATTATTTAAATTATCTAATTCTTCTCCAGTGATTTTGTAGGTATACACCATGTTCACCTGTTTTATTAATATGGATTTCCCCTTAAATGTCTACATACTTTCTTTATACCTTATACTTGTATTATTATCCAAGCTAAGAATGAAGAGTTGGCTCCTTCCGGTTAAGATGAATATTTTGTTACATATTTCCTTTTGCATTCCTCCCACTCCTCACCACTCCCACATTCACATTCTCTTTCTAATTGTCAGTTGTAATCTATATTTTAATACCAACTCATTGTTGTTTAGTCTCTTTTTAACAAAATACTTAAGTGTTTTAGTTTGCCAATGATTTTTACATTTGCATTCAATTTTCTAAGCACATTACCAAGGATTATAGAAACTTACTATTATGTTCATTCACCTCCATGTTCCTGTCCCACATGGAGACTGACACATCATACGCTCTTAGGAATTCTGGTTAAGGAAATAATGCCATAGAACAGGAGAAAAAAAAAGAGCCTGATCAAGTGAAACTTAAATTCCCATCCTAAGTGTTGCTTTTATAACATGTTACCTGAAGATATTACTTCCAAGATTACAGTAAATCCATAGAGTGTATTTCGCTTTGATAGTCCCATCTCTGCTATGGTCAAACACGCACACATATACACAAATCCATACTAATGGGAATGAACACTTTACTATTTCCCATGTGCTAGTACTCTTGGAATGTGAGGTGCTTACATTAACTTCATTGTTATTAGCTCTTTTAAAAGATTCACCTGTAAATAACTATAAACATTGGTCTCAAACTGGCTGCACATTGTAATCACATGTGACGATTTTTAAAAGATCCTAATGACCTAGCGATCCACCAGTCCAATTAAATCCAAATCTCTCTGGTTGAGACCCAAGCGTCAGTGTTTCCTAATGCTCCTCCTGTGACCGCAGAGTAAAGCCAAGTATGAGAACGTAGCAGAGTCAACAGTCTGTACCTGATCAGTCTAGTTGCGCCTGTAGATACAATGCAACATAAGGAAACGCTTTTCTGGTTTCTTACAAAATGACTTGGGGAAACAGCTTTCTTTTGGACTCGGATAACTACGTGAAAGTGATTAAAAAGCACTTGTATCATTGCAATAACTATTTTATCACTTTTTAATATGCAGATGAATGGAGTGCCCAGCTGTGTTTTGGGATGAGAGTAGAGACAACAATAGGGTGTTTCAGAGTTGGTCAGATAGCTCAGTTAAAACCAACATGGAGAAACAGATTATAACCCAATTTTGCAAGACTAAGAACTCTGCCCGTTTCATAAATTTGCTTTGGGCTCTCTTACACAAGAAAATGTGAAGTTATAGCCCTAATATTGAGGTCATACTATGTTTTTTCTTTATTTTTGGCATATTACCACATATATGCTTCCTGATTTTATGGAGCCTCAGACATTTGAGTTCATAATAGGGATCAGATTTTGAAGGATACCCGAATAGAGTCAAGGAAATATTGTCTCTGGAAATGTGCTTTGAATATCAATTGCTGCCACAACAATTCTTATGCTTGACTTGAGAGAAGAAACAGGTAAAAACCAAAACAAAACTCATATGCAAACTTTAGGTGGCATTTTATTATATGCATTTTCCTAAACACACTATTATGGAATAGATTAGCAGAAGCTTATAGTTAACATTACAATAAAGGGAGCCAACTTGCTGTTTTATATAGGATAATCTTCATTAGATTGCTACATTTTTAATTTAAAACTTGTTTGACAGCATCAATTCATTGATTATTTTTTCTTGTAGCTTTATTGAGGTATAATTGACAAAGTTATATATATTTAATGTATACAACATGAAGATGTGATATACTTGTATGTATACATTGTAAAATAACCATAATCAGCTTTAATTAACACATCCATCACCTCACATATTTACCATTTGTGTGTGTGTGTGTTTGTGATGAGAACACTTAAGATCTACACTCTATGGAAAATTTAAAATATATGATACAGCAGTATTATTAACTATAGTTGTCATGCTGTATATTAGAATCAATCAATTTAGAAGTTAACATACTAAAATTTCGTATTAGGAAAGAGATAATGTCTCTTCACAGATAAGAGTGAACTAACTTAGCTCATGTACAACTGAAACATTGTTTTTGGCCTCTCCCCTGTTAGGTAATATCTATTCATTTTATTGTTTGTGTTGCTGTTTATGAATATGCTGTTAAAATATGCACAGTGCACTTGTCAGACAGATAGCTATAATTATAGTTTAAGGATAGCTTTCTTGGTATAGAATCTGTATTTCCCAAGATATATAGCTTGATTGAAAATACCAAGCAGAATATAGGATCCTTGGACTCTGATCTTACAGAAAAAATAATGGAGAAGATAATGGGAGTTAAGTGTCTTCTACAGTGATTTTCACATAGTTCAATGCTTCTCAAACAGGACCTGGCCTTGCAGCATCTGTGTCACTTGGAAACTTTACAAATGCCATTCTCAGGTGCCACCCAGCTTTACTAAATTAGAAACTCTAAGGTCTGTGTTTTAACAAACCCTCTGTGTGCTTCCGCTACACTCTAAAGTTTGAGAATCTCTAAC